ACACACACACAGACACACACACAGACACACACACAGACACAGACACACACACACACAGACACAGGCACAGACACAGACACAGACACAGACAGGCACAGACACAGACACAGACACAGACACGGGTTAGTCCACAGAGATCCACACACACATCAGAAGTCAGAGATCATCAGGGAAATGTGTCTGACCTTCTCTTCCGCCAGAGGGACGCATCTCACTGCAGACGAGAGCAGAAACAGACAGAAATTAAACCCTTTCAGACTGAGCTTGGATTATGATCCACGTGGAATAAGAGAACAAAATATATTTGTGTGCCTTTGGATGTCAGAATCAGAATGCAAATCATTTTTATAGAATACTGTCGTCAAAGACGCCATTCGAAGCTGAACGCAGACGTTCAGGTGTTTTTGCTGCAGTTAATCTGAATAAACAGACTGCTGCTGTAGTTCTGCGTTCACCTGACAATAATCCCAGATTAACTGCTATTCCTGTCTCACCTGATCAGCTCAGACTACACCAACAGAGCATGACATTAATAAAGCAGCCGTTTTAATGTGCATTCATTTTCATGTATTTTATTGGGTAATGTGCATTAATTTATTTTCTTGTGAGTGTGTGTGTGTGTGAGTGTGTGTGTGTGTGTGTGTGTGTAAGATTCTTATTTTAGGTAGATATGTCTGTGTGCATGGATTGAATTGTGGTTGCTGCTGTAACAATATAATTTCTAGTGAAGGATTAATAAAGTATTTAATAATAAACGCTGGTTTGATCGATTATGTAACGCGAGCCGCTGCTGCTGCTGTGTGAAATAAACCCACAATCATGTCAGATCTGCATCCAGACATACAGGACACACACTGGACATGGTTATCGACACTGATGCAGATGTATAGCAGAACAGAAGCTTCCTCACCTGCAGCGCAGAACACGCACGCCGCCGACCAGACCGCCAGCACGCGCATCACGCACACACACACACGGGCACGCGCACAGCAGAACAGATGATGATGAAGATGAAGATTAAGATGATTTGATCACGTCTGTTTGTGGGGAGAGACTACAGAGAAATCCAGCTGGAGGACATGATGAGCTCTGCGCGCTCCCGCGGCGTGCCCGCGCACAGATAGAGCCAGTGCGCGTGTCCGTGCGCGCTCACGGCTGTCAGGGGAGATTAGTGTTAGAAAGAAAATAACACAATAAATCAGAATCCACAGCAAAGCACTAATCTTTTACTAGACAACATATACAATTATTACAGCGTTTGAACGGCATTATCTGAAAATCATTTGCTTCTATTGTTTGTTTTTTGTACTTCAGTTCTGAAAAAGCACCATTTCACATTTCTCTACAAAGCCACATTCATTCATAACCAGAAATAGATTTTTGATTCGGAATATGGTCACAATAACAAGGTTACAGTACAATGTCACACAACACCATACGTTCTCTAGTTAATGCATTTGCTAACATAAACTAACAATAAACATTTCACAGCATTTGTGAATCTTTCCTATAATATCTAATTATTACAAATACAATTAACTAAACAACAGAACTTGATTTTAATATACTGCTCGTATTAACACATTTTTTGTAATTTTGTTGCGCTTGTTATTTGTTGCTTCATTATACAAATACAATTAACTAAACAATAGAACTTGATTTTAATATACTGTTTGCTCGTATTAACACATTTTTTGTAATTTTGTTGCGCTTGTTATTTGTTGCTTCATTTTATATAGTCTATAATACGGACTATAAAAATAAATAATGCATATTAAATAAAAACTATTTTTTAACAATTTTATTCATTAGTTTTATTTTAGCACTTAAACTAAACAAAACTGGGACATCTTGTCTTGGCAACTAGATAGAATAAATAAGTAAATAAGTTTGATAAAATAAGTAAGTTTTATAGTTTGAAATAAAATGAGTTTTAGTTTATGATAATAGCCCTGGTATAGATCTAGTTTCAGAATAAAATATTTGGATTTAACGTTTAAAGATTTAAAGAAACTAGCAAGTAATATGAGAAAGAAATCAGCCAATATTTGATGTCCTCATCAGACAGAGACCTGAGCGATTCATAAATACATAAAAATCATCTTCATTATTAATGCAAAAAACACACTTCCAGCAGCTCATGTACCTACACACAGTCTCTCTCACACACACACACACACACACACAGTCTTTCTGACACATGCACACACACACACACACACACACACACACACTCTCTCTCTCTCTCACTCTCTCTCTCACACACACACACACAGCTGCTGGTTAGCCGTTAAACAGACAAACAGACAAAGCCTGAGGAGAAACTGTTGGCAGATGACTAGACTCAGTGAGGTTATAATACCCTTCATAAATGCTACTCAAATGACTCCCATCATACAGAACTGAAGAATAACCCAGAGAGTGACGAGTGGACAACTACATACTTTCAGGACGTTTGAATCTGTTAGAGATGGAGAAAAGAAACTCATCGCACCTCAGAAACACATTCAAAAAGAAAAGAATCAGCGGAAGCCTTCAGTAAATGCAAAACATGAACAATTTATTACCATTCTGATGTCCATTCAGGTAAGAAGCATAAGAAGCATATTAGAAGAATTGAACCAAACAGAGCAACACACACAAGTCCCATCACTCCAGATGTCAGAGATGTCAGAATTAATAATAACAATAATAATATCTCATGCCAAGCACCTTTCACCTGTACCGAGGTTCACAGTCGGAGGTCTCACCGGGAGAAAGACAGAAGGACAGAGAGCTCACATCTTTGGAATGATTCCCTCCAGTAAAGCTTCTCTTCCCCACATGGATGCAGAGGAAGTTCAGCTTCCTCCAAGGGTTCCTGACCCCGTTATGACCCACGTTAATGAAGCAATCGATTAAGACAGAGAGCTGCAGTGTGAAGCAGCGCCAGGCTGTTCCGCACACAGATAAAACACCAGACTCCAGCTGCTGACTCTGGTCGCTCGCTCACTGATGGTAAGCACACGAGACTGTGCTGCGCTCTGAATGAAGGGGATGGAGGACAAACACGTCAGACTGAAGCGGTTGCATAGTGTGATGAGATCCTGAGCGACTGAGACGGATGAACGTCCACAGACACGGTCAGCCGAACCAAACGCAGAAGATCCGTCTGGCTCACAGTTTATATTTAGACTTGCAAGCAATTAGGAGTTTATATATCGCAATTCTGATTTTTGTTCTCAGATATAAACTGGAGAAAAGTCAGAATTGTGAGATAAAAAGTTGCAATTACCTTTTCATTTTTTTATGCCATGGCAGAAACAAGTTTCTACAGAAAACGGGCTTCCTTTTCTTTATGAAAAGTATTTATTTTCGTGATTTTAGAGTGATGTGAGCAGGACGTGTTCTCGAGCGGTTTCAGCTCTACAAACAGACGGCAGTGACGCAACCGACTGAATCATTACACAAATAAAGCAAACAAGCCTGTTTTTCAGTCAATACAGTTTTACTAGACATAGAGCAGCGTCGGAGAGACGTATAAAACACACACACACAGCGCTCTGATGCTCCGTAAGGCTGAATGGGGTTTTCACAGACTGTACCATTCAAAGAGAAAACACACCACAAATGAATCCACAGAAACCTGCCGTTTAGAAGCACCGCTGAGATTCTGTTACGACAGGAGGAAATCAAAGCTGACGACGACGATGATGAAATGGAATCTGATTGGTGGGTTTTTGCATCAGTCGGTAGGAGGCGGAGTCTGTCATTGGCTGACGTCCCTGTCAGTCACGGAGGGGCGGAGCAACAGACGAGCACAGCTCGATCTCGTGTCTTTACTTCATAGATCTGCGTATAAAAATCATTTGGATAAAGTCTCTCGGGTCATATTCTGATTTGCCTATACCTGTGTATTTACAAACTCAGGACACGCTCACGGCTGTAGTGACGCCTGGTAAACATCTCACGGATAAGTGCTAAGAAACCGCATGTACCTGGACAGAAATAAGACCGCATCATAACAGATAAACACAGGGACGCCTCAACTCTCCGCTTTAAACCTGCCGTCCCAACACAGAAAAGCACAGGAGGAAGTCCGTCGTGGGGGTGAGAGGTCATGCAGGAAGTGATGTAAACGAGCGGCTACTTAGACCAGAAGCACCATCGTTCCTTATCCTTGATCTCCCTTCCGCGATATAATAGTTTATGTATTTCCTTTATAATAAACTTAGTTAAGTACAATAAAGTAGAAAAATATTAGAGAAGGTATACACAGTTAGTCGTGTGTGGTCTGTAGTGACGGTGTTGTTTGCGTGTGTGTGCTGGAGCGCAGTGTTCTTTCAGGTCCAGTTCTCAGATGGTCGACGTTCTGTCCATTCCGTCTGCGGAGAGAGAATGGGAATAACGCATTAAAAACTAGATTTAACTTCGGCAAAACACAAGCTTATAACAGTCAATTTCTTTTCTTTTTTCAGCTAAAAAAAAGCAATATATCTCATCAGTAAATTCTCATTAATGAGTGAATGTGCAAAATTTTCAAAGCTTTTACCATGTTTTACTATGTTTGTACTAAATTTACCCCCTTTTCATTAAATGATTGTTTTTTTTAATTCTTTGAAATTTCACATTTTACAGCAACTACAGCAAAAACACTGCCATGCGAGAAATTTTTTTTCTTCAATATTAATGAGCATTATTAAATAAAATTTCTAAGTACATTTAAACTGATATAAACTAACACGACAGCAGATGCGCTGTGATTGGGTATGACAGGATGATGCTGCGCTGTGATTGGGTAGCGCGGGATGATTCTGCGCTGTGATTGGGTAGCTGTGATTGGGTAGCGAGGGATGACGCTGCGCTGTGATTGGGTAGCGCGGGATGACGCTGCGCTGTGATTGGGTAGCGCGGGATGACGCTGCGCTGTGATTGGGTAGCGCGGGATGACGCTGCGCTGTGATTGGGTAGCGCGGGATGACGCTGCGCTGTGATTGGGTAGCGCGGGATGACGCTGCGCTGTGATTGGGTAGCGCGGGATGA